AATGTTCTTTAAATCTAGTTAATATTGATCTTCTAGTTTGTCCAACATATTTCTGATTACAATCTTTACAAGAAATCTCATAAATACCCGACCTTTCCAGTGGAGGTGTTTTATCCTTTGGATTACCTAATAATTGTTGTAATTTATTATTAGCACTATACACAAGTTTATAATTGACATTCTTAAAAATTCCTTTTAGACCACGGGATAACTCTCTATCAAACGGTATTGAAAAAAATTTAGACGTATCTTTCTCCACTTGAAAAGTCGACCTCCACTGGAAAGGTCGGGTATTTATGAGGTTTCTTGTAAAGATTGTAATCAGAAATATGTTGGGCAAACTAGAAGATCAATATTAACTAGATTTAAAGAACATTTAGCTCAGATAAGATATGGTAGACCGGATAAATCTTGCCTTGCCGAACATATTGTTGATAAAGAACATTGTATACATCTTAATAATTTAAAATTAATTAAACAAGTCTCAAATTACAGGCAATTAGATGCATATGAAAGCATCAGAATTAATAAATGTAAAGATAGTATGAACAGAGACAACGGTCCAATTCCTTCAAGTTCTTTGTTCCTACTACTCTAGTGGCGAAAATCTAACTGTTACGCTCAATGGGCTCTGACTCGGTTGGCTAGATTTTGTCACGCCCACACGGTGCCCACTGAGCGAGTATATAAACGCTCAACTTGTAGATTGTACTTTAGTTTATAACCATCTGCTGATGATGCTAACATGGTTAGCGAAACGCGCGTCCAGTGTAAAAGTAAAAGTGTTTTGGTGTATTGTGGTGATTTAGTGTTTTATTTTGCATTTTATATCTGCTGATGATGCTAACATGGTTAGCGAAACGCGCGTCCAGTGTAAAAGTAAAAGTGTTTTGGTGTATTGTGGTGATTTAGTGTTTTATTTTGCAATAATCGTCATTTCCAAGCCAACTAAACGACTTTTTTCGATTATACGACATATTCAGTACCTATAAAAGAATTTTTATCTTTGTTGTTTATTCTATGTTTAACATGAATACATTTTCAATACATAAACGCGGATTTTTTATCCAAAGATATTTTCGTCAAACGTATTACATATATTACATATTTTAATATGGCAACACTGTCGCTTTCAGATGCGTACCATCTTCGATATGCCTTTGCTGGCTGAATTAGAAAAAATAAGTGTTTTATGAGGCTGACCGCAGAATGATTGGTGTCTCCACCGTACAGCACTGGAGACGTAAGGGGAAATCAAATCAGCCTTGTCACGAATTCGCCCATTAGGTTGAGTATCTTCCCAATTCTTTCAATCAACGGTGAGGGGGTATGGGAAGAGGTTAAAAATTTAAAAAAATCGTAACTCCAAAATTACAGTAGGTAGCGAAACGCGGTCTTTAATTTAAGATTAGGAATAATATTTGCAACAAAATTTGTAATAACATCAAAACCAGTCAATGTCGCAGTTTTTGAGATAAGAAAAATGGAAAAATTCCTTTATTTTGAAACTAAAAGACCTGCCTACCAACTTTTTATTTATTAACATATTTTAGTATGGGCGGCTATACGTGCCTCCCGGCGCCAATTTTTTTATATCGACCGTTAAAGTTTTGTTGTTTAAAAGTGGACCACCCAGTATATCTTATACATTTTATTATAGGTGTTCGGCCTGCAAAAATAAACTATCAAGAACCAGTAAACCTAGAAAAAGAGAATCTGTGATAAAAATACCACTACTTTCTACTATTGAGAGTTCCAATTAGAAATGCTTAAGTATTCTTATTTGGTGACCACCATTGAACCATGTGATGTACATATGTAAATTATTATAATTATTATTAAATAAATAAGTTTTTTTAATATCGTTAAAAGTTATTTACATGCATGTGTATGTAAGTCTATAAAAAAGAGTAATTTATCGACGATGTCCCATGTTACTAATTACATATTTCATTGAAATGGGGTCCACAGTTCGTTTGAACATGTAATTACTGTTTCTAGTTCGGTACCACCTAGTTATTTGTCTGTAAGTGGACATAGTGACGTAATTGAAAGAATATATTTTTTCCCATACAATTTTACATAAATGATTTCTTTATAGGTAGTCTGTATTTTTGACAATTGTCTCCGTCATTTGTCTTCTGTCGAAATGTCTTCTGAAATCGATGTCTTCTGTCGAAATCTTTCCTGATTCAAAAAAATTATTTAGTTCAATGCTACGAAAAGTACAATAATTGTTATCGGAAAATGTGACTGATACGTTAACAACAGCAAAACTGATGACGTTAATCAAAATTAATAAGAACCGTTTTCATTTTTAAACGCCTTTTCATTTTTAGGACTTATTTTTTCTTTACTTTTAGGAAGAATTCAACCATATTTTTACATTTTTTAATATTATCTCTAAAACTGTGTAAGACACCGATTTTGTCGGCGTGTTTGAAAGCTCTCTAACTCGAACATACAGTATGCCGCCGGATTGTCTTTACAAGAGGAAAACCTTTTTTATTATTGACATTTAGAGGAAAATGCATTCTTTATAAAAAGTTTTGCTTGTTCTAAATCCCCTTTATACTTTTCCAAATTTCCATACAGCTTTAAAGAAAATATAAAAAAAAACATGAAAATATGGTTGAATTTTTCCTAGTAAGTAAGAAAAAATAAATCCTAAAAATGAAAAGGCGTTTCTATGGTAATATCACTTGGATTTCTTGATAGATGGCATAGATAAATGAAACGAGTTTAGATTGGAAAGTGCCCATAAGGACAATGTAAACACTATTTGGCGCTATCTTGCAACGGTCGCGACCCAAAGCTTTTGAGAATTTCGGAGCAGTTCGGCTTTTCCGGAATTAAATTAATAATTAATTCACTTGGATTTCATTCGAATATAGCCAAATATTATTTATTCAATTAATTTATAATTATTTTTTTTTAATTTTATAAATAAAATACAGTGTGTTGCATACAATAAGCTTTATTTTATATAAGGACATGTATGAAATACTGGAAACCGACGTTATGCCACGATCCACGATGGTTTTTGCAGCTCACAGTTCACAGCACAGCTTTTTAAGTTTTTAATGCCACTTTTTCACAATTATCACGGATTTGAGTAAATAAAACTTAAATGAAACTCACAAGATTTAAACGGACGCTTTAAACCCTTTTTGGAATTTTTTCAATGAGAGCGGCTTAGATTTTGAAAGATTTTATAATTTTTGAAGATTCTGACTTTGACAAGAGATATGGACAAGAGAAAATTATTTCTGTTTTTGTTTGCGGTTGTTCTTAGCAACCGCTATAGCAGCGCCAGATTGCGTACAACGGTCGCAACCCAAAATTTTGACGGACATTCCAATCTAAATTTATTTCCTTATATACAGGGTGGTCCGAATTGTATTCAAGAAACTTCGGCAGCATATTCTGCAGATAAAAATAAGTAAAAAAGTTCGTATAAATGTATGTCCTAAAATGCTTAGTTTCGGAAATACAGGGTGTAGAAGTTTCGTTTTTATTTTGATTTTTTCCAAATAATTTATGAAGTAATGTCAATATTTGGATGAAAATTGGCGTCTCCGAGTTTTTTGACATGAGAAATTTGATTTTGATGTCAATATGACTCCTACTTGTAGAGGGCGCCACCTACATATTCTTAAGTGGTTTGAAGAGTAATAACTTTTCGTCCGTACTTGTATAAAATTAGTGAGTAAAAAAATATAAATTTACAAAAATTTTTACGTAAAAAAGATCTCTTGGTAAAAATCGCTACAAGGAATGGTTCTCGAGATATTTGGAATCGAAATTATCAAGACCTATCATCATTGACATAAATTGAACATGTTGACTAACAGTTATTAAACTAAACTCATAAATTTGAAATGTTTTTGTGCCAAAAGTTCAACAGAAACTGTTTTATCATCATTTTTTCGTAGAAAAATTATGATTAATTTAAAAAAATAAAAATTTTCCAAATTTATTATTTCAGTCAAATAATTATCTACTCAACGTATTTATTTTTTTGTCAATAATGACATGTAATGACTATTTCTCTTCTAAATATCTTAAGAACTGTTGATCGTAGCGATTTTTACCAAGAGACATTTTTTACGTAAAAAGTCACGGAAATATACATTTTTTCACCCTGTAGTTTTATACAGGTATGGATGAAAAGTTATTACTCTTCAAAACAGTTAGAACACATGTAGGTAGCGCCCTCTACAAATAGGAGTCATATTGACATCAAAATCAATCTTTTCATGTCAAAAAACCTCCAGATACCAATTTCCATCCAAATATTGACGTTATTTCAGAAAGTATTTCGAAAAAATCGAAATAAAAATGAAACTTCTACACCCTGTATCTCTGAAACTAAGGATTTTAGGACATACATCTATACGAACTTTTTTACTTATTTTTATCTGCAGAATATGCTGCGGAAGTTTCCGGAATACAGTTCAGACCACCCTGTATAGTTCTTATTAATTTTGATTAACGTCATAAGTTTTGCTGTTGTTAAAGTATCACATTTTCCGATAACAATTATTTCCCTTTTCGTAGCATTGAACTAAATAAAGTTTGTTTCTTTAACATTTTAAAACAGAACAAATTATGACTCAAAATATGAAAAATGAAAAAAAATCTACCAATAACAATCTCAAGAATGAAATTGAAATGAAATTACAATGGAAATGCCTTTTGATTTTTAGTACTTGAAAAATTCAACCATATTTTCATGATTTTTTAATTTTTCTAAAGCGGTGTGGAAATTTGGAAAAGTATAAACGGGATTAGCCATTTTAGAACAAGCAATAATTTTTATGAAGAATGCATTTTTCTCAAAATGCCAATAATAAAAAAGTTTTTCTTCTTGTAAAGACAATCCGGGGACTGGCGGGGACATACTGTAGAAGAATGCATATACATATAATAGGATATTATAATAGTATTATACTCTTAATTATTATGTTAGTAGTACTATAAAATATGCTTTTTTACAGGTTGTAGGAGTCCAACAGTACCCTGTGAGGCCCACCGGAGTCCCTAATCAGAACGGCGTAGGGGACCCCAACGGAAACGCCATCATAGGCGAACAACTTTTGACAGAATCGACTTTGACAGACGATGTCATAAGAACAGCCGGTAGAAGACTAGAAGACGCATTGGTAGAATTTGACGCATACTGTTCGTCGTTACACCTTGATCCGTACAGCCCCTTATTTAGGTGAGTTTTTTGTTCGTTTATGTATATTCGACGAATCGACATCGATTTTTGATATGTCGATATTTTTAGACAGGCCTACCGTAGTTTTCTATATATTTTTCTTCAAATTTTGATATTTCGTGTATTTTTACAGGATTATAACTGACGGACAACTTCCTATACGTCAGTGTCTCCATCCGGAGGCTTGGCGAAAGGAATTTGAACTACCTACTTATTATAATTCATTTCACGATGTCCGGAAAGAAGTTGCCGCGTTTTTACACAAAGATGAAGTTCCTAGTAGCATTGCTGACATTCTGGAATGTATCCTTTTTTCATATGCCTATAAAAGAAGTTATTAAAATGATTTTTTTAATTAAATCTTTTTAAAAAAAATGTTACTACGCCACTGTTTCCTATGAAGTAGGCCAGAGCCACCTGGCAGGATTTAACGGTACTACAGTTAGAGAGCGACAGCTGAATATCCTAGTACTTCAACTAGCGCAAAACAGATGGCGCCTATTGATTTTTTTTTCAGTGGATATTAAATTTGTTTAAAACAGCATTTTTAAATAATATTATGATTTGTTTTATAATATTGTTACATTATGTTTCAAATAATAAAATGATATACACATTAGTAATAATTATGTAATACTATTTACTTATTTTGTTTAATTGACTAGAAATTTTAAAAATCATTATTTTTATAACAATTTTTATATGAGTAAAACCATTTGTTTATTTTTTAAATTTTATTTACTTTTTTCTCTGACATAATAGAGTTGTTGGTGTTTTTTCTTAACTATTGAATTCAGTGTTACAAGTGAAAGCAGAGACAGACAACGAGTTTTACAAGAAAGAAGCTAAAGATATGGTTAACATAGTGCAAAGGTTAATAATGGAAGGTAAAGGAAATATTTTATATTATTTTAAGGTTTGAATTGTAAAAATATAATCGTTTTATTTTATAGACAATTGTTTCAATATATAACAATAACGTATTAATTTTTATACTTTACTTGCGTAAAAATAACATTTTTTGTCAGAGCCATTTTAGATAAACTCGGCAATAATAAAATTTTGAATTTTTCTAAAATATTTCAAGATAGTTTGATGTGGCTAAAAAATGGAACAGGTATAATGTATTTTAAACATGAAACGTAATTTTCTTAGTCTCTAAAAAGGTTTTGAATATACAGGGTGCTTCTGGCTGAGATTGTACTAGAAGTGTCTAGTCTCTATCGGAGCTGTTTTACGCTCCAGTGTTTCACAAGAGCTTACTTTACTTACGGGTTTTTCTTATTACCGATTCAGAACCGTCCTAGAACTTTACAGCGAATGTGCAGATAAAAAATTGCTACATAATTTCTTTTGCGCAGGTGTTCATCACAGTTCTAGGACGGTTCAGAATTGGTTTGATCCCCTTAGTATTTAGAGAGAGATTTTTTTTGCAAAGCAGACCTGCAGGTAAGATATATATTTTGTAAAATATACACAGAGCTCAGTTGTCCGTTAGGGGGCATCACTCAAAAATAAACCCGAACCTTAAACAAATATTATTTGTGAAAAGTATACGCGGTGGCGTTTTTTAGGTTAGGTTAGGTTGCTGGGGTTTGGGATCATATTTGATCCCTCACTCATTGCCATACCCCTGTATTGTTTTACCAAACCTTCCTCTCATTCTTTCTTTGCGTTAAAGCACTTCCAGCTCTTTGCAAAGTTCCCGATGTCGCTGATGTTGGCTTCTGCTGCTTCCTCTAGTCCCTCCAAAAAACCTTGCTCTAAAATTTTTAAGCGTCGCGCGTCGGTATTCCAGTGCCGGACAGTGGCACAGCAGGTGCTCTATGGGTTCTTCTTCCTCTCCGCATTCTCTGCAGTAGTCGTCGTCGGAAACTTTCCATCTTACGAGGTTTACCCCCGTGGGACAGTTTCCAGTGACGACACCTACAATTATGCGTACTAGGTCCTTTTTGTGCTCTAGTAGTTGTTTTTGCCATCTACCACTGGAGTCTTCGAGCTGTAGCGCAGTCCTCACGGTGTTGCCACGTCTCTTGCTGCTTGGCTTTGATGGCAGTTCCTATAGCCTCCTTCAGTGTGTTGATCGTCACAACTGGTGGGTCATCTGCCACGGCCTCTCCCCTGGCCCCGTCTTTGGCGAGTCTGTCTGCTTCCTGATTGCCCACCACATTGCTGTGGCCTGGCACCCAGCACAGAGTAGCCCCGCCCCGACGCAGCCAGGACAGTGCTTCTCGGCATTCCATCATTCCATCACAGTTTTCGATCTCACTGATTGCATGATGATGCTTCTTAAAGCGGCCAAGCTGTCAGAGTATATCACTATATCCCCTATTGGTCTATCAGCAATTTTCTCTCGTATACAACTAGTCGCTTCCTTTATGGCGTAAACCTCTGCTTGTAGAACATTACAGCCATCCGATAGCCTCAAAGATCGTCGGATGTCTAGTTTCTCTGAGAAGATGCCTATACCTGTGCGCCCTGAATTTGCGGAAGCATCTGTATAGACAGCTATCTCTTGAGTGTTCATTACTCGGTTGCTTTCTCATTCCTCTCTTGTTGGGATGCGAATCCTTATCTTTTCTCCAAAATCATGTTTGGTGAGCATATAGTCCGTTTTCTGGTCTAGCAGATGTGGACTCGTGTTCACCATGATTTTCCATATCACTGGCAATATTCTCGAGTGACCGTGGTTGGTCTGGTTCCACAGATTGGATTCCCTTAATCTTAGGGCACCCTTAGCGGCCAGATCCTTCACGAGTCAGTCGATTGATTGCAATCTTAAAATATCTTAAAAATGTGTTTATTTGTTGTAAGTTTGATGTCCTCTAACAGACAAACGAAGTACTCTTATATAGTGTTAAATAGAGTCCAATGAACTTACTATGATTTCAAAAATACGTGGTAGTTCTATGTCCGCGTAATATTGGGACATCCTGTATATTGGGACATCCTTATTTCTTTACCTTAAGTAACGCGTTTTAAACTTTAGAATTTAGGATGTTTTTCCAATCGGTTGTATCTTCGATACTAAATAACAAAATATTTAAAATACAGTATCATAATTTGATGTAACCAAATATATTGATTTATATTGTAAAACTTGAAATGGGGTCATCTAAATAAAATAACACTTATTTAGATGTCATTGGTTACTTTTACTTTAGCTATATTATTATAATACTGAGCACACATGATATATCAAAAAACGGAATAAAAAAATCTTTTTTCTAATGAGATGAAAAACCAGTTTACCAGTTTTCATACTTTTTCTTTTATTTTAAGCAGAAAAATAAACATCTTGTATATGAAAAAAAAATTATATTTAACATACATCAATTGTTATTATTATTCTCTTAAATTTTTGTTTACTACTTTTTGGTTACTTTTATTTTGAAAATATATCTTTTTTTTTTAAATAAAAATACTAATAGCAAATAAGATATACCACAAACCACAATTAAATATTTTTAGAAAACTACAAGCATTTAAAGATCTTTTTTATTTTTTATTTTAAAAGCTATAATTTTTTAGACAGGGTGTAGTAGAGAACGGCAGTTCGTATGGACATTTTGTCAGTATATGTAGGTTAATTTAGAGCATTTAAAAATATAGAGAGTTCTATACGGTGCCGGTGTCCCAAAAAAAGTTACACATCAAAGTTGTGCTTTTTGCAACGGAATATATCCTATATATATTTTAATTGATTTTAGGATTATCGGAGAAAAATAAAAGTTTGATTGGTTTACAGGGACAATATTAATATTGAACAGTGGTTACCTTTAAAAATAAGGTACAATTATTTTAAATGGGTTACCCAGTATATTATTCCGATATTCAATGGGGAATTCATGTCTTTTCAAAGTATTATTAGGGTTGCCTACACATCAAATACAAAGATTTTCCTAGATATTTTCATTTTTATGATTTAGTGTAGGTATATTATTTATTCTTTGATAAAATCTAGGTGGCTGTGATATGTCTGACGCTACTTCAACATAGCTGTCAAATTACTTCAACTTTAACAACTAGTTATCATTTTGTGTCGGTTATAAAAAAAAATAAGAAATTTGCTGAAAATGGAAACTTAATTATGCTACATCAGAGAGAATTGATAGGATTCTGTTAGTTAGTGACTGCAGTGTGCATTTACCAATTAATAGAATACCGTATGATCGAAAAAAAACAGCGTCCAGTTGGCTTGGAAATGACGATCGATGACATTTCCCATATAATTTTACATATAAAATGACAGCGATCTTCATTTCATAGCTATCGTTGCCGTTTTTATTCGATCATACGGTACTTAAATGCTTCTGGTTTTTCTAGTCTGTTTTTTTATGGGGATATGTTCAAAGCGGTGGTTACAAAACTCGACCAACTATTGTCGATTGTCGACAACATCAGAGAAATTATTATCGCTGCTTTTCAAAGTAGAACTCCATTTAGTATGCCTTTTAACATAAAAATATTTTTTGAAAAGAGAATTATTTTATGCAGTGAACAGTAAAGGGAAGCATTTTGAGCATTTGATTTCATCTAGCTAATTTTTGTCATATATATATTTTTTTTTTGATATCTAGTATTAATTCTGTAGTGACTAAAATATTTTTTAAAAGTGTATGTTTTTATTACCGTTGAGTATTTTACTCTATATTTTTTAATTTTTGATAAATTAACAAAAAGTATATCACAGCCACCTAGATTTTATCAAATAATAAACATCTACTGATGCAAAATTATGAAAATGAAAATATCTAGGAAAATCTTTGTCTGAGGGGTAGACAACCTTAATAGTATTTTGAAGATATATGAATTCTCCATTGAATACCGAAATAATATACTGGGTGTTCCGTTTAAAATAAAGGAGTAACTTGCTTTTAAAAGTGGCCAATGTTCAATATTAATTTTGTGTCACTCTGTATTACTTTTCGGGTCAAATTTTAATTTGGTATAACATACAATGGTTATTGTAATTACATATCTGGCTATACAGGATAAATTAAGATTTAGGTAGCTGTTATCGAAATTTAAAATTTATTCGTCATTTTCACTAAATGTGATATATGTCAAAATCCTAAATTTCCCAAAACTTCATACAATCCGAAAACCGATTTATAGGGTGTTCCATTACAAAAAAAACCACTTCGATGGGTAACTTTTTTGGGGGACACTGTAGAACTCTATATATTTTTATAAAATGCTCTCAGTTAACGTACATACATATTACATATGCTCCCAAAAATTCATTTGGATATAAACTATCGATCTAGATCTTTTAGTTCTCTAGAAAGAATACAAATACCCTGTATATGGCAACTGGCAACGTATCTTTGGCAACGTGGTATATTTTTTAATAACAAAATCTCATAGAAATTAGTAACTTTAGAGGAGTTAGAAAATATTAGTTAATTTAGTCGTCCTTTGTTGGCAAACTTATGTATTATTGAAAGTCTTGCAACAGTGCTACATTTTGAAGGAGTACATATTTATTTAGTACTTTTTTCTTAGTCTATTCAGTGATTAAATCATAAATATATAAACAAAAATCGAGGAATATATAATTCAGACACTGTCAGGAAAATATTGAATACTTGACAACGCCGCATCGAATGTGAAACCAAAGTGTGAGGCATTTTTTCCAGCGCTATGTGGATTTTTAGCATGTATCAGCAAGTTGATTGAACTACGTTGATATTGTCCACTTGACAATTTTGCTTTTTTACACTAGCTCTAGTAGTTTTTGTTTTACCTTTCCGCGTTAAGGTACCATTTTAACTACGTCTAAAAGTGCCACATGGTACTACCTTATTTAGAAGCATAAATATTCGTATTTATATACTCGAACCTGTGATTTATTAGTTTTAGAATTAAGGTAAATAAGAAATAGATTCGAAAAGTGCTTGAGATAGCTCTTTAATTTATCTAGTAGACGATAAGAATGTCGTACCATGAATCAAAGGGCAGTAAAAAGGCTGGGTACTGATATTGTTTCGTTTTCTTCATTTCAGGTCACAGATTTGAACTTTTAGAGACTGTAAATCTAGTTTTGGAGCCTGGTATTTTGTAAGTATCTTTTTGTAATAATTTTAAACTATAACATTATTTTTTATTTTGCTATTTTAAATACAGGCCTGATAAAAATATTTTTTTCACGAAGCTAATATGTATAAGTTTGCAAATAATGCTGATATATTCTAAATGTACATAAAAATTATTAGTTTTTAAAAAAATAGTGGTAATTTTTGTAAAGCTCTGGGTACGTGTAAAATCATAGACACAACCAATACATTTTTTCCATGCATATGGATGCCGTAAAATAGCTAATAGAACAAAACAAAACACGATAGTTTTTTATGCCCTCAAGTGACGTCAAATAATGTAGGTTCATGTGGCTAGAAGATACTTAAAACGCGTCTATGTTATTTTATGATTTAACGTCCAAAGTCCCAATCACGGTTTCTCATTCTTTTTGCTTACAAATAAATAAATTGATAGATAATAATTAATTGATGGACAAAATATTAATGAAAAATAATTCTTACAGTTTTGGATATTACGTAAGCAGTTGATAAAAAAATATACATTAATATATTATATCATAGTATAATAGATTCTTTCTTCAATACAATTTTAAATTGGTACATATTATAATATTTAAATTCTTTTTTGACATTTTTATTATGGTTTCTTTGCGTCATATGTATAATGTACTTGATGCATTTTTTATTTAATAATAGAATAAGTGCGGGTTTACATGCATCCGTAATGCGTCGTCCGTCGTTGATTTTATGCAATTTCATTGGTTTATTTCAAAAATGACAGCTCATACTTAAATATGGTTAGAGTGACGGAACGAAGGACAACGTATTACGTATGCATATAAACGCACCTTAACTTTTATATACTGTCTTGAATGAACTGACATAGAGTTTTAATAAATTTGCAACATTGCCAAATTATAGATACATATTTCGAATTTTCAAAATATTTATTAATTTACATAATATGTATATAATCAGAAAATTCATTTTGTACATATATTTTTACAGGGTCAAATTATTTAATTCTTTATAGATAAATAGTTAAACAAAAACCGGGCAAAATCGTGTATAAAAAATTCAAAATATTATTTGCGAAGTTAACATTCAGTTATTTCGATCATATTTTTTTTTTTAATTTTATGGGTCCTTCAGTAGTCTGATTATGCTTATTTTTAAACATTTCAAGTATTTTGGAACAGATTAATATCTTAATGCGACACTAATGTTACTAATTGGAGTGCTTGACAAATAAGGATGTCTTTCGAAGAGTATATAGAGTGGTCAAAAACTAATTCCAATTCTTTTTATATTCTGAATCGAAAAACGGTTTCAGGTTAATTTTTGTTTTACGAAAATTTGTACTTTCTTTAATTTTTTTTCGTTTTAAAATTTCAAAACCTAGTGTGCTTAAAACGAACTATTTTTGACTCTATATGTTGATATAAAATTTTGTTTAAACAAAAATTTCTATAGTCGTTTATATACATATATACAGGGTGACGCACCTCATTCGCCTCGATTGATTATACGAAAACGGGAAGATGTAGAAACAAAATATTTTTTGGGTATATGTGGGAAGGCAATGCGCACAATTTAAAATTATTTTGAAATATACAGGGTGTTTCAGAACTAAGATCCATACCAAAGTTATATTTTTTCTTATGGAACACCCGGTATTTTATTTCATTTTTGGATTCATGGGCCCCAAAAAAGGTATTTATTATAAGGGTTAAATGTGTTTAAAATCTTTAGTTTTTGAAATATTTAAAGATATGAAAATTTGCATGCTACAATATAATTAAGACTATTAACACCCTGTACATTGCTTTTCAGAATTAATTCTTATGCTGAGTTTAAAGGTAGAGAAATAAACTTTATTAAAAAATGGTATTGGTTTCTTAAATTTATACAGGGCTATCAAAAGTTGCTGATCTATTTTAAGGATATATTTTATATATAAACTTCGTTATTTCAAATGCAACACCCTGTATTTTTTTAAATAAATCGAAGCAGATTCAAATGCTCTTTCAAACTATATTAGGGTTTCCTATACCTATCTAGCTCAGATTTTGAATAAAAAGCGATTTTTAAATAAAATTGCATTCAATATGGTTGGTGTCGCCATGGCAATTTTCTAGTGACAGTTAGTAACTATTTTCAAAGTCGACATTAGTTTAATTATTATTTATAATTTATAACAGTTTACTTAAATTTACCTACAGTAGTTGAATAAGTAAATATTCAGTATTTTATCAAGAAAAATAAAGCAGTGTCTGCTGGCGGAACGCATAGATATGTTACTAGTGATACTATTTTGTAAGAAAAATTGCTTCTTGGTTTCGAAGGCTTATGCCCAAAGATATCCAAATAGGAATCTTCCTTATAAGCGTTTCTTTGAAAAACTGCTTGTCCTATTTCGCAGAGCTGGTAGTGTAGTTTATAAAAAACCTATTAGGCAGAAACTTGTCGTTGGAAGTGAAGAAAATGAATTTGCTGTAATTGGCTCTTTTATAGAAAATTCATATATCTACAAGTCATCGTAAAATAATTCAAAGAACTACTTCTTCGTTTTTCTTGATAGAATAATAAACACATATTTAATAAATATTATTTATTAAACGATTGTAGGTAAATTAAATAAAAGTAAACTAGTATAAATTTAAATAAGTCCATAAACTAATTTCGATGAAAATAGCTACTAACTGTCACTAGAAACTTGCCACGACAACACTAGCCATCTCGATTACAATTTTATTCAAAATCGCTTTTTATTCAAAATTTGAGCCAGATAGGTATAGGAAACCCTAATATAGTTTGAAAGAGAATTTAAATCTGCTTCGACTTATTTAAAAAAATACAGGATGTTGCATTTGAAATAACGAAGTTTTCATGTAAAATAAATATTTAAAATAGACCAGCAATTTTTGATACCCCTGTATACATTTAAGGAAGGAATAACATTTTTCTGTAAAGTTTATTTCTCTACCTTTAATCTCAGCACAAGAATTAATTCTGAAAAGTAATGTACCTACAGGATGTTAATAATCTATTCTATTGTAGTATGCAAATTTAAATATTTTTAAATATCTCAAAAACCAAAGATTGTAAACATATTTAACCCTTATAATAAATACCTTTTTTGGGCCCAAGAATCCAAAAATGAAATAAAATACCGGGTGTTCCATAAGAAAAAATATAACTTTGGTATGGATCTTAGTTCTGAAACACCCTGTACATTTCAAAATAATTTTAAATTGTGCACATTACCTACCCACATATATCCATAAAATATTTTGTTTCTACATCTTTCCGTTTTCGTATAATCAACCGAGGCGAATGAGGTGCGCCACCCTGTATATACCTACGACAAAAATATTTATGACCCAAAAATTCGGTATAATTTTGGTGAGATTATTTTGGAGACACTCTGTATATATTCTCCAAATCTTGTTTTTCTTATCAATCGCTTCGACCAAAATCGAACACACGATTTGACATTTGCTTGCCCCTTAAATCACAGATAATTTCATATCAGTATGTTTATATGGTTCATTCTTTCTCACACTCGCGTCAAATTCATTTGTACTAAACAAAGAAAGATAGTTTTATATTATTTTTTTACTTTGTCTTTTATCATTTATCATTCTTAGATTCTTTAGTTTAGTTTTGAGTGTCAGAGACATCGTGTGAAGACGTGTAGAATGTTTTTTTTAGGAATTTATATTGCATCAATACAAAGTTAAGTTTTGTAGTTTTGATAGTTTTTCCTGCGTTTTATTTATCTATTTGAAGCGAATCTTCTGCGGTGAGTCTTTAATATATTATTTATTATTTTACACTTGTTTATTTTAAATGTTATTCTTTAATATTTTTCCCCTTTTTTTCCCGCAACCAAAAAACAAATCTAAACCCAAAGTAATATTTCATATTTCTAGACTCAGATGAAACCATTTTTTTACAATTTTTCATCACCCATTTTAGACCGTAAGGTATCCAAAAAAGAACAATTAAAATACATCAAAAAGATAAAAATAAAATTTTCAAAAAATTTAAATAGATAATTATATCGGCCTATAGCACACGTAATTTATAAATTTTAATGTTTCTTAAGTTTACAAAATGTTCTTAGGCAACAGTTCAATATGTAGATAACGTTATATGGTTTGTTGCTATATTATGTAGCTGATGTAGTGTCGTAATGGTTATATTATAGATCCAAAGACGATGAAATTGACACAAACTGCGTAGTAAGAGCGAGAGGCTTGCCTTGGCAAAGCAGTGATCAAGATATTGCCAAGTTTTTCAGAGGTCTCAATGTTGCCAAGTGAGTATATTGATATCTATTTGACAGCTCCTAACTTTAGAAAAGGCACCAGATTTTTTTTTAATTATATTACTACTAGGAACTAAATTATGTATACCAAAAAATTGGTTAAACTTTTTATTTACATTTAATTTTTTTAGATTTTCAATTTTCTCTTAAATTAACTAAAGATTTTAACATTAGGGCAAACATTTATATTATCGTATTCAACTGATAGCAAGGTAGTTTGGAATGATTGGTATTTTGTTGTAAAAGTTTATTTATTGATAAGGTTCATACTGTAGTACACGTCTGTTTTTTGTATACCTGCTATTTTCTATAGTTACAAATTGATTTTTTACTTTATATTAATTTTATATTAATTATATTAAATACTCAACATCTAAATCTAATCGATTTTTTCCGAGTTAGTTCTTAAAAGTATATTACAAATAAGTGTTCTTAAATTATATCACTTGGTCTAGCGCTGGTTAAATGTTTTTCATAATCAGTATTAACATCATTATTTTCCAAAAACTCTTTGCAGAGGCGGCGTAGCTTTGTGTCTGTCAAACATGGGCCGACGTAACGGTGAAGCCCTGGTCCGATTCGAATCCCAAGAGCATCGCGACATGGCTCTGCGCAGACACAAACATCACATGGAGCTGCGCTACATCGAAGTCTACAGAGGAACCGGCGAAGATTTCCTCGCAGTAGCAGGAGGCAGCAGCGGGGAAGCCCTGGCCTTCCTAAGCCGAGGTGCATCCGTTATAGTCCGTATGCGCGGTTTACCTTACGATTGCACTGCGCAGCAAGTGTTAGACTTTTTTGCCGCAGGAGAGAACTCGTGTACAGTCCTTGACGGGACTGAAGGAGTATTATTTGTTAGAAAACGAGATGGTAGAGCAACGGGTGATGCTTTTGTGCTATTTTCTGATGAGTCTGATGCCCCTAAAGCACTAGCAAAGCATAGAGACGTCATTGGTTCGAGATACATCGAACTATTCCGTTCAACAACCGCGGAAGTCCAGCAAGTGTTAAATAGGTCATTACAGGAACCATCTTCGAATTCTTCAGCTGTTAATATCCAGTCTCTGCCTCCTATTCCTCAGCTACCATCTCCTGGGTTTCCCTTACTTCCTCAGCATTACATAACATCAGGAACACGAAAGGACTGTGTACGCCTCCGTGGTTTACCCTATGAAGCTCAGGTGGAACATATTCTGGACTTTTTGGGGGAGCATGCTAAGAGTATAGTGTTTCAAGGAGTGCACATGGTGTATAATGCTCAAGGACAGCCCAGTGGTGAGGCTTTTATCCAGATGGACTCGGAAGCATCGGCGTTCTCGGCAGCTCAGCACAAGCATCATAGGTACATGGTGTTTGGGAAGAAACAGAGATACATTGAGGTATTTCAATGTTCTGGAGAGGATATGAGTCTAGTACTGACAGGAGGTGAGTGCATTAATGATATTTATATAATCAATAGTAACAAGGTAGTAGTAATAGGACAAGAAACACAAACAAAAAACAAGGGAGGTAACAATCTTGCTCGGCGTTATTACAGTGTTTTAACACAATCATAGTTTGTTCATGTATACTTTCTTATCATAGTGGAGCGCGGTCCGTCCAAGTTTTAATACTTTAATATAAATATAAATTGGTAGAGTAAAAATAGAGCCGCCCTTCATATTAATAGTATTCTTCTTTATCTATAGGCTTGGTTCATTTCAGTTGATTTCAACAAATTTCGACCGTAGCGCTTCAACGGCCGAAATCAGAAATTATCATTATGTACTTCACGCCGCCGTCATATTGATCGCATTAAAATAATATTGAAATCGTGATTTTGTCATAATATTTAAATATTTTAGTTTTTTGCTAGTGCAGTTATTGAGACTATAAAACACTCAGGTACGAGGTTTGTGTGATGTAACGCTGTTTCGGGTAGTAAAAAATAAATGAAAAAGAATTCGAACTAGGTGTCGCGTTGTATTGTGTTGTGACAATTTCGGCAATTTTATTAACAAAAAAATGTTAATAAAATTGCCGAAAAAATATATATTCAACTCTCCCGAAAAAACATTTTATAGGTATAGTTTCTCACACCGATTTGATCAAAAACAAAAATAAATTCAAGATTCAAGCAGTTCGACGAAACAAGTGAGTAAAGAAAGTGCTCGTTACATAATCAAAAAAATTGGCGCCGGGAGGCACGTATAGCCGCCCACACTAAAATATGTTAATAAAAAGTTGGTAGGCAGTTCTTTTAGTTTCAAAGTAAAGGAATTTTTCCATTTTTTTTATCTCAAAACCTGCGACTTTGACTGATTTTGATGTTATTACAAATTTTGTTGCAAATATTCCTAATCTTAAATTGAAAACCGCGTTTTGCTAGCTACTGTAATTTTGGAGTTACGATTTTTTAAAATTTTTAACCCCCTCCCATACCCCCTTACCAACCCCCCACCCCCACTAAAAACTAATGGCCAGATTCTCGGATGCCACAGTATTTTTGTGCCAAATTGGGTTAAAATCGGTTTAGCGTTTTTTGAGTTATCGTGTTACAGACGGACAGACAGACAGACACCATGAAAATATTTTGTATTTAGGTCATTTATGACCCAAATAACTCATTTTGAGTGAAATTAAAAATACTTTTTTTTGCCGATCTTAATAGTCTACCGTCTATTGGTATGGTCGGCTAAAAATAAATAGACATAAACTATGAGAGGATAAAATATAATTTGCAATATTAATGATATACTTTTTTTAATCAACTAGATTAAATGTTTTATGAACATCTTCTAAAATTATAATTATGTAACCTTAAAAAATTTCATTATAGCCAAAATAGCCCCACTAGCAAAACCGGTGATTAAAACTATGCTCGCTACCATAGTTGAATTCATCTAAAAAGTGTTTTTATAAGTGTCTTTACTTTTTTATTAGAATTTTCACAAATTATACTTCCTAAAACTTTTAGAATAATTATGTAAATAATAAATTTTTCGTATACTCGCTATTTAAACCTGTGTATTTGTATATATCGATTGTTTACGATATTATCCGATGGTGGCAACACTGGCGGAGAATGCACCAAGCCTATATTACAAACTTCATTAAGAATTTTTTTATACTCCCAGTTGTGTCGACTCGAGGCGTCTTAAAGTTCTTTGTTCAAATAAAGACTTCTCGCACCTTTACAGGTCTTCCTGGTCCGCCGTCACCCGCCACCGCCGCCGCCAAAACCACAGCGCCCGCCCCCGCTCCGCCCGCTGCCGCCCTTCTGACACCGCCTGGTATGTTGCCGTTGCCAGGAGCGGCCGCTCTTACTGCCGCACCGCCGCCCCTCTGGGACCCCGCCCTCTTGCAACTACAGCAACAAGCGCAACAGGCGCAGCTGATCGCGCAGCAGAGCCTCCTGGCGCGTCAGACGGCTGCGCAGGCTCATAACGAGATGTTGCTGATGGCGCATCACGCCTTCGCGGGTCAGGCGTCTGTCGCCCCTCCGCCGCAATTATCGCCAGGGGCTGCTAAAACTCAAGGGCACTTGATGCCGCAACTTCTTAGTGCGGGACAGTTTTTTATGCTGCCGCCTGGTGCTAGGTTGCCGTTGATGCAAACCAGGGCGCCGTACGCTCCACATTTGCTGACAGGGGCTGCACAAATGCCGCTGGTGCAGCATGTGGCCGTTAAGAGAAGCTACGGGGATGCTTTTCAGGAGCAGGCAGGTTCTGCTAAGAGAGCTTACGTGCCTACTACGGCTGCGGCAGGTCCTGCTCAGATTTATCAGCCTTTTTATCCTAATATGCAATAGTCTCGTCGTTCTTGAAGTCATTTTTTATGAAATTTACACTATTTAAGTATAACTATTTTAAAACATTTAGTCATGTACATTTTCCAACAATGAATTTCGGACATAATGACAGGACAAAAATGATATTGATATTAACATTAAAATAAAAATTCTATAGGCCTTATGTTACAACCATTAGAAAAAGTAAGTCAAACCTTTTAAAGTGCCTTACTTGTGTTCAGTGCTTTCCTGTATTATATACACAGGATATACTTTAGAATTCTGCTTAAAGAATATACTTTTTTATTTTTGTAAATATAGCTAATTGTTATTTTTTATAAAAATACAGAACACTCAATGAAAGTGGTTTAAAAAATAAAAAAAAACAGGACAATATGTTAGAATATACTAATAACTTGTTATAATTACCCTTTGAAGATGGTAGCTCTATTTTTTATACTTCGATATATTTTTAAGTCTCTAGTCGATAATGTTTAACTTTTAAGGAAATTTTGTGCGAAATTTTTCAATCATACCCCGTAGTGTTCGGTTTCCATGACGACGAGATTATTGTACCAGAATCGTTCAATAAATAATTTCTTTTGAATTATTTGCAGGAGTTGCGTTTCAGAGGGGCTAGTTGCGGAGATGTTTTTACTGTAGTTTTAAGTAAAAAGGGTATGGATTTAATAATTTTGTGACAAATAATTGAAACATAGGCGTTAATAAATACCTTTTCTATTGGTTAGGTTTTTTGGGACCAATATTATATTAACCAAATGTGATTGAATGTACATTCCATAATTCTATAGTGTTTTTTTTTGTTGGACAATATTTTTGCTTTTATTTCATGTCAATAACAAGACTAACGAAATCTACAGGGTAATTCACAGCGACGGTGATTTATACATGAATAGAGAATTGGTGAGAAATCCAAATTTTTGAAATAATCACCCATTCTCCATAAATGTCTTAACGTATCATCGACCGTTGGAATCACCCTGTAATTAATTGGGTTTAGGTTAGATAGATATTTTCTTACTATATTTGGTATAGGTTATATTTCGCTCTGTGCATCTAAATATGACCTAAAATAAATAATACCTGGGTTATACGAAAATATCTGATTGTTTAAAAGTATTTTTACATAAAAAATCGTATGGTCTTGGTATAGTGAAGTTGGCTTTATAAGTAATGTCCATGTTTCTTGTTATTGGAGATGGGTGTTGTTAAAAAAAGGATGGATCTTATAGGGGGAGGTCTAAAAGTTTGCTTCTCATAGGTCTATTCCCTTTAATATAAATAAGGGTAATCAAATTCAAACCCCACTGTTGGGATCTTGAAAACTATAGGAGATACAACGATGGTTAAATTAGGTCAAAATTGTGCATTAATGTGCCTAATAATATGCCGTTTACAAACATTAAATTCCGAGTAGTTCAAGAGATAAGCCCGATAATTGAATATTTTAATTTAATTATTTTATGATTTGACAAAACTAAAAGCACATTTCCATTGCCATTTTTTTTAAGTACACAACAGTGTTTTCAAGTTTGTCACACGACGTTTCGGCTTTGGTTACCATCATCAACTTTTATGTTTTCTTATAGGCGCCATATTAGATTTTTACTTTAATTAATCTTCAATTTTTATTTTCAAATATCTCCGGAACTACTCTGAATTTTAAATGTTTCAGTTGCATTGTAGGCACATTACTGCATAGCGTTGCTCTAATTTAACCATCCTCGGTATCCCCTATAGTTTTGGAAATCCCAATGGTGGGGGTTGAACTTGAATTACACTGTATTTTTTGGTACGTTTTACAAAAGAACATAGTAAGTAAGAGTTTATTTAAATATTTTTTTACGCAAAAAAATTTTTCTTTTTTGATATGTTTTGTACAAATTTTTTGCGTGTAATAATTGTTTTAATTTATATATATATATATATATATATATTGGGATATATATATATATACATTTTTAGTTATACTAGAAACTAGAATACATTTAAAAAAATATCTTCGATTTTTTGGAATTTAGGTACTTCAAACATGGTTTTGCTATTTTATAATCATTGATTTAAAATGGAATTCCAAAAAATCGAGGAGATGTAGATTTTTTTTAGATTTTTTAAGCCTTTTGATCGCTACATCTATATTGCTTTCGCTAGATTTTGAATATGGGTTTGGTGATTGTATTTTTACTAACACTTAAAAAAAATAAATAAATTATAAAGTTGGTGTTAATAATGAATAGGGATTATTCGGTTCTAAAGAACATTACTATATAAAATTTAGTTTATGTGGTTAAAATATTCTAAAATACTGAAGGCATAACACAATTTTTGATAAAATGTTTTTTAAACATTTATAAAATACAGTTTACAAATTTTGAATGTCTTTAATATTTTAGACCGTATACAGAGAGTTTCTAAATGATTTAAATAAGCAAAATTGGGATAGGTTACGTCAATAAAAACAAGGTAAGCACTAACATATAGTACAGTGGAGGCTTTTATAAATGTGCCCGACTACTTGAAGGCTAAATATATCCCAGAAATGATCCTACATCCCTTCCAGTCTTTTTACACCTTTTTTGGAACTAACCATTCATCAGAGCATGCTGATTTCACCATCACCAATGCCTTGTTCATTATCTAGCGAATTTAGGACAAAAACAGTGGCTTACATAGATCCCCACTTTTTTTGAGGAAGTTTTTTTCGTGACATAAATACGATTTTTTCTATGTACGCCACTGGTTTTATAATAGTCACGCCTCTGTTCTGTTACCCCCGCCCCTTTCAGTTCACTTGTACAATCTCATGTTTTTTTTTTCTCTTTTAGTCAAGTTATTTGTTCTAATATTTTTTTGATTAATTTTGATTGACACATTAAAATAAATGTTTATGTCACAATAATGCTTTGGGTTTTGTTGTTTATTAGTTTATTATAATTATTTATTTCCTCCTCCTTTATTTTATATCGATACATTTATTATTTATTGTTATAATTTGGAGGGGATGTTTGGTCTAGTCCATTTTCTTTTCTTTGTTTGCGTGTATTATTTTTTTTATATATTCTTTATACATTATACAAGGTGTAAATGAATAAGCATGAAAAAATAAGACCTCTTGATTTTTTTACACTTATTTATTTGCACCGTATATAATTCCAAATGGAAAATGGACTATATCAGCACCATATCGGGTATCTAGTGGATTATTTGGTATCCAGGGGTTACGGATTCTGTCATGGTGGTGTCTGTGCTACAGTGAAATTTGGTGTGGAAAAAAAGTCGGTGGTTTTAATTCAGTATTCTAGCGCACTGTGGTGAGTCCTTTTTACTTATTTTAACATTTTTACTCCTCAGAGACATAGGTATATATAGATAAACTGTAATATATAAATAACCAATGGTTTGTGCTAATTTCAATATCAGCATTAGAAAGTATCTATTATGAAAAACTAACAATAATTGATGTTTAACTGAATTCTCTAAGTTTACTTATATCTCTGAGTTTTACCCACTTTTTTGGTACTGTTATTGTGTTCATTCTATTTCTCTCACAAACACTTATTTTCCTTTTCTTGTAATTACCATTATCGTATAACTTAAAAAAACCATTTCAATATCTTATACCTACACCTTTATATTTTGTAGCCTTAAGTAACACACATTACTCTATTTTTTTGTATTTTAGTCCTATTACAAAAAGAAACTGGAATAATACTTTATATAGGGTGTCTCTTAAATTTACTTGTAGTATATTTCGACACTACAGAAACAAGCATGAAGTTTTTTGCAGGAAAATGTTAACATGAAAATTTTACATTTCTCTAGACATTTTCCGGAAAGTTCTAAAAGAACTTTTTAGTACCGCAGGTTCTGAAATTTCTTGACGGTGTATCGAAGACCTGCACTGTTGTCGCCCTCGTACGTTACCTACTTCCTGCATATTTGTCTGTCTGTTTATAAGTTCACACAGTAATTTTACATTTTACAGTTGATCGAATAAATCTTTAGAAATATTGCAGAATTTTCAAGCAAGATGAGTTTAGATATTTTTTGTTCCTGAGGCAACACAGGGCATCAAAATGTTCATAAAATAAGTTTTTAAAAATTTCAAACTTAAATAACACGGATATTAAATTATTTGAAATATACAGGGTCTTTCAAAAAACATGTGCCATCTCTCGTGGGGAGATTCCTCACGTAAAAATAAGGTTTATTTTTCATATCAACATTGGTCCGATTCTGCTTTGTTTCGTAGCTTATTAAAGTCTTAATATTTTTTCGATTTGTTATCATTTCCTTCCAAGTACTTTTAGCGTTTCTAATAAAATTTTGAGGGTAAAAGTTACTGTAAATGCATCATATTTTGAAGCTAAAAAAGTGTCGACATATTCACCAGGGACGTGGATATGGGTTATCGCTGGAATATTTTTCTAAAAAAAGCATGTACGCCACTGATTTTTTTTATCTTGTTAGCAAAATAGTGTAAGCAGGCGATTAAAAGTTGTCAGTTGATATTTTGTCGATTTCGGCCTCTTTGATGAGATAAACGCAATCATGATGAGTTAATGCATGTCTCTGATGAATTTATCTTTCTTACACTTTTTTAGACACTTTCTTAGCATTAAAATATGTAACACTTACAGTAACTTTTACCCTCAAGCATTCAATCGAATCATTAAAAGTAATGGGAAGAAAATTATAATAAATCGAAAGATTATTAAGACTTTAACACCCTGTAGCTACGAAACAATGCAGAATCGGACCTATGTTGATTTGAAAAATAAATCTTATTTTTAGATAAGGAATCTCCCCACGAGAGATGGCACATGTTTTTTGAAACACCCTGTATACAAATAGAAATAATGCTTGTCTAGATCTGCTACATCTTAAAATATTAAACGTTTTTAGGAGACATCCTGTGTAATAAAAATCTAAAAGCCATTAATTTTATATTTTTTTTTTCACAGGTGGTACAATATTGTCTCCCCCCGCTAGTCTAGGCTATGCTCCGGCAGGATTCGCTCCCATGCACTTTGCAACAACGACAATGCAACCAAGACAGTATCTGCATACCCCAATCTTCTACTGGCCCCTCTATCCCAGCCCTCCCGTATCTCCTACAGGATACTATATGCAGGGTCCACCAGGACCACCTTTGGGGCCTCCGCATCAAGGACAGGGTCTGCAACAACAACCGCAACTCGTGAGTACTTGTGAGCTTTTTTTAACTGTGAAAGTTAATACGATTTATCACCCATAATATTATAATGATATTTTTCTTAGATTCAACCTGAATGTCTGGGACTACCTACGCCTATGGCAACTGCTGCCTTACAAAACTTGCCACCAATTGATGCCAGATTGTTAGAAAGTATTCCCAGACCTATTAGTTGTTAAAAAAAACTCGTAAGATTTTTTATAATCTTGACATTTTTTTTCTACACTTCGCTTTATTATTGTTATTAACTTATTTTTTCTGCTGGTATTTTTATGAAGTTTTGGCCAGTCATACAACTCATTTAAAGAAACATTCATCTTTCTTTTTCTACATATTACAAATCCTAGTTACAACTATAGTATTTTTAAAGCCAGTTTGACTGGTTTGGGGCTCGTAATTTCGATATTGTCTTTTTGGACAAACAAATTAAAATCCCTAACAAATATCAAGCCATGCCAACTGACTGTAAAAATACATTCACCGGCACCAAAAACGGGCACCTTAAAATTTTCATGTATTTTGAAGTTTTATATTTATATTGTGTTCTAGTGGACCGATTTTGATGATTTTTTAAGCAATTTGTAGCTAAATTATTTGATTTGGTTTGGTTTGGCAGATAATGTTTCAAACTTTTACCAAAATATCAACATTTTGTTTTCCATCGTATAATAAACTTTAAAATACATCAAAGTTTTAAGGTGCCCGTTTTTCGCGCCGGGGAGTGTTACTACTATTCTTACTAGGAACTTTAGTCAATTTATTTTTAGGAAATTAATATAAATATATTTTCTATTTAATTAATTTTAGATGTTATATTTTTTGGCTGCTATAGCTCAAAAATCGACAACATATCATCAAAAGTCTTCCATGTAATTTTTAATATTAAAAATATTACTTTTAAAAAGTAGAATTTATTTATGAGGGAGTGTTATTTTTTCTAGACACCCTGTAGAATTGATATTTCTCTAAAACAAGGCTGCACGAAAAAACTAGGGATATTATACATGAAAAATCATGCTTAAAACTATACTTGCCTTAGATATAAATATATTTAATTAAAAAAAAACGCTCAAAATGTCTAGTATATTGTTAAGTGCAATAATTATAAAATGTGCATAAAAATATATTTTTATATATTTTTTAGTGATATATAGATGTGTTAGTCATGCACGACTTAGATTATTTAAATAAATAAGTATATTTTTACTTAAAAAATACAGAATTATCAGATCCTAAACATTTGTTATGTCTATAATTTGTGATTAAAGAAAACACTTAACTATCATATTTGTGTAAGGTCTGATCGCTCTGTATATTGTTATATCAAACAATTTATAGAGTTAATTTATATTTGATACTTTTAATTGCCCTTTTTGGCGCACACTTTTTTTACATACATATCTTGTCAACTTTTTTTTATATTATTTAAGTAGGTATAATATAATAAGCAGTAAATATGAATTTTAGATATTGCCATACTGTTTAAAAATATAAAAACTCATAAAACTTGAACCAAATCACAAACAGTTATTTAATGGTGATATCTAAAACTTTTATTGTGTATACTGTGTGCATTTTCCCCTAGTATTAAGATTTTTTTTCTCTCCTGAATGACAAATAGATTTTAAAACATACTGACTTTAATTAATTGGTTTTTATATACCTCTCAAAAAAACTTAGGT